GTATATGGATGGACTGGGCTGCATTTCCGGTGATGGATCACAGTGACAACGAGATTACGGTCCCAGGACAAGTGATGTGCTTTCTGAAGCTAAAAGAAGGGGACTCCACACCAGCAGGTGGTGTGGTTGGTGCCAACGGGGGGGTTTATGCAGTTGTGCGTTCCTTCAAAGAGGCACCCAAAAAAACAGTGTCAACATTTGTCTCCAGGGGAGAATTGGATGGACATAATTTTGAACTGTATGACACCGAGACTATAGTGTCTGAACTTTCTGWGGTTCCCGACTTAGAACCAGACCATGAAAAGGAACCTAAGGAATGGTTAGTTGTCCAGAGACGTGAAGAGTGGCGACTATTTTTGGAAAAGAAACTGACCCCAAACAAGAACCCTGCGGTAGACTCAGAGGAAGATTATGATGACTCAGACTGTGACTTGGACCCTGATGAAATGAATAGAGAAAGGAGGAAGGACAGGGAGGAGACGAAAGAGGGGGATTCTTCTGTTAGTGGTGGAGAGGATGATTTTACTAACAACTCACCAGGGGACAGCAGTGACGGAAAAATTTCTGGTTGTGACAGAGACAACTCGGACACTTCCACTTCCGATGAATTCTAAGTGACAACGATGTAGGATTCTTCAAAAGAATTGTGAACGGAGACAACAATTTTTTACTAAATAGAGGAGATTATAGTACTGTGTGCATGCAAATTTGAAATGCGTTACTACTCCGGATCAGGAAAATAGTACGCATCGACCAAGGTAACAGGGTCACTTGGTGATCTACCAGGGACAATGTTGAGAAGCCTGTCATGAAAATAATCATATAGAGACTTTACCTCCACATCCTGGTTTGGGTGGTCAAAAGATTTGGACCACAAAACTCCCACAGCGGGTAGTTGGTCTCCCAGAGAAGGACGTTTTGGGAAAACATACATGAAGCCAGAATTTGGGTGAAACACCGAAAACAACAAATACCAGGCATCGGGTTGGACCAGCAGAGATAGGAGGAAAAAACCATCATTGTAATCCAAGATTGTACTCTGCAGATTACCAACCACTTTGTCTGCCACAGGCATGAAAGGTTTCCATGGATTCCATTTCTTCTGGGAGTTTGATTCTCCATTGTTGGAAAGTTGATCAACAGAGTTTTTCATTCCCTCAAAGATATGCCCGGAGAGAGAGGCGGCATAAGACTCAACATAAGCATCCGCATCATGCGACACGGAAACATCAGTCAATCGGTCAAGAACAGGGTCCAAGATGAGGTCCACCATTCCGTCGTCATAGACTAGTGCGTTGTTCGACTTGTCAGATTCAGATTTGAAAGCGGACACGGATGACATGTAGCGGAGAAAGAATTTCASTGCGGTCTTGACATTAAAGCATCGAAACTTTCGCTCAGATATTTGCTCCCCTCTGAAAACATCTTCTGATTGAGGAGGGGCAGGAGTGCCTTCTACTGCTCCAGCAACAAGATCAGCAACAACAACACCAGGAAAGTATTGTTGGAGATTAGGTTTCAACAAATTCTTTCGGTCAGCTTTGTTTTTCCACCATAAAACCTTGCATCGCCAATCTGGTCGCTGTACGTTGCAATCACCAAACATATTAGAATATTTGGTTTTCTTCCCGGATCCACTAACAACGTAGTATTGGTCGGAACCAGATTCTTCAGTGCCAGTGGTCCGGGACGCCGACAGAGGAAGATCAAGGGATCTTCTCATCTTCTTGGATTGAGGTGGTGGTGTTTCCGGAAGTACGTTGGCCTTCAACTTGAATGAAGTCACTTTGCGGCGTTCCAACAATGCCTTCATATCATCATCCATATAATATGGTTTGTAGTCTGTTGATTTCTTGTATATATCATCATCATTCTCGACTGGGTTGTCCAATTCATCCAGAGCACGAGCAAGTTGATTCGAACAATCTTCCAAAAGTTTCCAAGCGGCTGCCCCATCAGATTGTACGGCGGTAGATACACGAATGTTCAGTTCCTTAACGAGGGGTGTTACCTTGGCCCAAAACTTGTAGATGGGACTAGACTCTTTGTCACAAAGTGAACACAGAGCTTGCACAACAAGGTGCAAATGACTCTTCTCTCATCCGTTCTTGAAATTGATCGTTTCGGTGTCGTTGGTACCATGATTGTTCTTATCCATAGATTTGATCATGTTTGTAGCATCGTATGCCTTTGATTTGTATTGCTCTTGAAACCATGAAAAGATTTTCTTTCCTGGTGAATGAAGAGTTGACAATTGTTTGACGATTTTTCTAGCCTTTTCTCCGTTCCTCTTGTTGTCCCCATCGTCGTCAGAGTCAGAGTCAGACAATACGGAATTGTCATCCAAGTATTCCGTGATCAAAGTCTTAATGGTCAACATGCGATCTGATGCGTCCTCACAAAGCTGGTCACTTTCCGTACAGAGATGTTCAAAARCCTTCACGTTTTCAKTGAGCCCAAGACAGGCCCAGCTAAGGAGAAGGGAATCAGATAAGAAGGCTTCATTCCACAGGGGTTTCATCTTGTCCCTGGTGACACTGGAAGAACATAGTTGGTTGGGACTCGCCATGGCAGAGCGGGTGGGGGTCTTGTATGGATTCGACATTTGTTGATTGTAAATTGTGGCTGAACCAAATTATGGAAAAAAACAGCAGAAACWATTTTGTCGATCTGACGCAAACGGAATAACATGGGCTGCTTGCACDAGGAAAAAGGACTGGAGACCTCCACGGTGGTGGTGGTGTGAGATGCACCGTCTCCAGCCACGCCCACAACCAACTGATTAAAGTGATGCAATAAAACGAGGTTTCTGTAAAAACTAGGCAGGACAACCAGGACCAAGCTAATGGTTTTTGATGAAACAAATTTTTGACAGGACTGGTTTACCACTGTAACGTCTCGCTTGGAGTTTTTGACAGGACTGGTTAACCACCACTGCAATATCWCGCTAGGAATGGTGGGGGCAACAGCAACATGTGTTTGACAGATGGGAAAGGAACGGAAGAAACTGATAGACGTTGGAAAAACGGGGAGTGGTCTACAAATCTATGTATCCAAAAGCAATCACAACCATTCGCAACCAATCTCACTTGCATTATGACCAGACACAACCCGTCAGGTTTGCTATTGGAGGAAATGCGACCATCACAACAAAAATAGAAAGGGTTTAGCACGTGATTTTTTTAAAAGGGGGTGAGTATTCTCGAAAAAAACGTCGTGAGAGTGTGCGAGAGGGTGCGATCACTTTTTGTGACGCAGAGTGAATATAGTTTGGGCACTATTCTCATCTGTATTTTTACTACATGGTGAAATGATGGGGGCAATTCCCTCTCATACAAAGAGAAACAAACAATAGAATATTGCCTGAGCAATATTATCTTTGTTTCTTCATGTTTAAAAAAAGAGAATATTGGTGCTTCGCTTTGACAAAGAGAAACACAGATAATATTGCCTGGGCAGTTATCTCTTTGTTTTAACATGGGAAAAATCACCTATGGGAAACCCTGATCATGGTTGGCAACTGTCTTCCTTGAAAACTAACAGAGGGCCCTGTTAATCAACTCATAACCTCCTGTTGTTACTGGGCCCTACAGAACCAACATGCCATGCATCTTCCCCCTTTGAAATTGAACATTGGGGGCATGATTTCATGGGTTATTCTTCCAATGAAATAACCCCCAATCCAAAAATGTGGGTTATTTTT